CAACCAACAAAACACACCAAGAGCAACACGACGGCGGCAACCCGGCCGACCACTCCAACAGACCGGGCCATGCCTCTGGACACCACTCAAGAAACTGCCAAATCACGCCTAACTGGAGCCGCAACCTAAGAAACATCATCTCGCGCCCAGATAATCAATCCCAGCACCGAAGTAGGACGGAAACGGCAACCCAACCCCTCCACACAACCGTCGTTCCAAACCCGGTCCACACCACGACCCGAGAAATGGAAAAGCCGGTCGACCCCTCAACCCCACCACCAGAGGAAGAGAAGACATAAGGGACAAGGTTCGCCATCCTCCACCCTGACCGCCGCCACCAGGCTGTCGGAGCCGTGACCCTTTCTGAAGCACCACAACCCGCCACCGACACCCTGGAATCCGATGACCCACACCCAGTACGATAGCTACATAATCGCCGAAGACTGCATGGTTCGCCATCCTCTTCCAACACCCCGAAGAATAGGATCTTACACAAAATCGTGAGGAGGACCACGCAACCCGGAGCGGCCAATGTCAAAATACCTGACGCCAGCTGGGGAAGGCCCTACGAACGCGAAATAGGGACTCCGAGCCGAAAATCTAGGTTAGGGGGAAAATTGAGGCTTTTTTGAGAGACAGAGCCGTTATATTATTTATTCATTTATTTATTTATTTTTGTTTTGGTTTAATTGTCAAAATCTATTTTAATCTACATTCTTCAGCCAATCGCCCTAAGTAGTCGAGGTTAATAATGCAATAGCTAATTACAAGCCTAGGTTTCGGAAATAAATTGATATTTAATGGTTAGTTGGTAGGTAGAAATTGAATTATAAATACTTTTAAATATTATGTTAGTAACTCAAGTAATGAATTCTTATACAACATTGAAAACATGAATTTGAAAATTGAGAACATAATTTTAAGAAATCAACCTACTTAGCCATCTCATGAGACAAGGTAGATAATTTATCACATAATTAAATTTCCAATAAAATAATTTGAAAAACATATTATTCAACTAGTTAGACAAAGAATTTCCACATCTAAACCGTCTTCCCATCTACCATGCACACTATAATATTTTGGGATTTTGGTCAGAACTGTATATCTGATGGTTAAATTCCTCTCGTAATCATTTCGTGACGGAACTGTAGACAAATCAAAAAATATGTTATTCATATTATCTCAGTTTTCGTTTCATTTTTCTTCTCAATTTGTTCAATACAAATTAATTTTAAATTAAAGATCAATTAATATTAAATATTTATTTAAAAGAATTATTCATTTGTTTATATATTTATATTTATAACTTTGATATAGCCCCTCACGGTCCTTGTTTTGTAGGTCATCAGTTTTACACTTTACTCAAATGGTAAGAGTATTCCAGTTGCCAGTTCGTGTAGATCCTCAATCTAGACCATCACTATTGTTATTTTAAGAATTCCTCACCACACCGTTTATTGTTATTATTATTATTATTATTATTAGTTATATCATATTACTTCACATTAAAAAATATTTCTTTTATTATTATTTTATCGATATAAAAATCTTACCCAAAGTAAAACAATATCCAATAATTATGGGCTACCCATTTCACTAGTTTTGTCCTTATTCAATAATACATCTGCAGCCACATCTTATCGGGTTTGCATGGGTTGAATAAGTCTAAGAAATAATCATAAAGTACCTAGAAGCCTTTTAATATATACACATAAAAGTATATATGCCGGCACAAGTTGGGATTTAACTTATTCCAACTTTTCATGTTCTTAAATCACAGCAGTCATTGTTCGATCGTGTCAAAGGATAAGAATAACTATCGCGCGTGTAATTTTATATAGCACAAATTAAAAGTATCTAATTTGATTTGATTCATTATCACTTGAAGAGCCCCACACAACAAATTTTTACAAACTGCTTTTGTAGCATCAATCAATAATCGATCACAAACCCTTCTAAACTAGGAAAATACAAATATGCATAATTAATTATAGGATAAGGATTAAACTTTTCCATAAACATTATGCTACAAGTTACCAGATAAAGTCTAGACATTTTCTTCAATTTGACAATTGACAATTTTTTTTTTTTTTTTTAATAAGCCTTCACTAATTCTCACTGCATTTCATACATTGGACTAACAAATCCTTGCTCTTGATCCACTTGGGACTTCATAGAAGGCTGCCCTAATTGGTTCTTATTATCCCCGGCCCGCGAAAAGTTAATTGTCCCGTTGTTTTCAGTGACTGTTTCTTGATTGTCAAAAGGTGCATTGTTGTTGTTGTTGTAAGAGGCGTCGTTAAGGAGATTCGAGATGGAGCCCATATAGTCGAATTCCCATAGATGAGTTAGGGAAGATATTCTTGGAAAGGATTTGTTACATTGTGGTGGTTCAATTAATGCAATTTGATCACTTGTTTTCACAATTTGAGCCTTAAGTGTGTCTTCAACTTGTATTCTTCCATCATCACTAGCTCTTGCCAAATTCTTCTTCTTGTAGATTCTACAAAGCACCCAATCATCCAACTAAAACACATAAAAGCACAATAACTAAGTTAGTTAATTAAAAGTGCTTAAAATAAATCTTTGTATGGCTAATTTTCTTGGTAGAGTGCATATACATAGTGGGAATATTGTCCTACTAGATAGATAAAGAGGAAAGATTTTATTATAAAAGGATTAGGGATAATATGTATACCCTCATGGAGCCACTTTGCTTGTAAGATTGTGACCTTGATTCACTCATTCGATATTCGTGCATAATCCAATCAGTCTTGATGCCCTTTGGCGGCCGACCCTTGTAAAAAACGAGGGCTTTCTTGATTCCCACATACTTAGAGACACTATATATGGATTTATCCGTGCCCGTGGCTTTCCAATAACCCGAGACAGCCGCCCTATTAGGGCGCACGCCGTTTGGGTACTTTCTGTCTCGAGGAGTGAAAAAATACCATTCGCTCTCTCCGAATTCAGCCTTGTCTATATAATCAATACCAAACACGCGTATCACAAAATAGTCAAACTTTAGTACACACACGTTATAAGATAATTGCATATAAATAAGACTAATAATACGCACATAATTACAATCGTCATACTAACCGGGCAACTCCCACGGGTCGAACTTATAGATATCGACTTCGGGTATGATAGAAAACGGGCATGGCCTCGATGTGGCTTGGTATCGGAGATAATACATTATTAATTCCTCATCGGTTGGGTGAAATCTAAAACCGGGTGGAAGGCTTGAGTTGTTTTTTCCAACCATCTTTTTTTTTGTTTCTTGCAAGGATTTTTTGGACAAGTTCAGGTTTATATGTATAATAGCAAAAGATTAGTGTGTTTTAGTTTTTGTCATTTGTTTTGGACAGGATAGTTAAAGATGAGATGAGAGAGGAAAGAGTTTGAAACGTTTGCAAGGGGATGGGAAGGCATTTTATATTTGAGGGTTTTTGTCATCTTATGGATTAAATCTTGATTGGGTTATCTTTTTTGTGTTTTCTTTTTCTCTTTGCTTTGACTTTCACTTTCATACCTTAAGTAGGTAATGGATGAGCCAATGCAGCAAAGACAGCCATACTTGTGGAATTAGGTAAAATGAATTTTCTTTCTCTTCCGTTTATTCTATTCCTTCATAATTTTCTGCTTTTTTATGGATAGAACTTTAGATACATGCACACATAGATAAATTATTATTATTATTATTATTCCACAATATATGACCATAACGTTTTGCACGAAGTCTCTGATTAGCAAATCGCTCAAGTTATCAAGTTCCCACTATAAGCTGAGGCACAAATAAGACACAAAATTGATTATTCGATTTAGTCCAATTCAAAATTTAGCATTATGTATGATAATTAATCACAGTAAGTTAATTGTTTGAGACATAATGAAGTTTGTTCATTTGAAAGGCACTTTCTAGCAGGAGTAGCAATGGCTAACACAACACATAATACGAACACGACACAAAACGACTAGAAAACATAATTATAAAAATAAATGGCACGATGGCCCGATATGAGTAAGTGATATAGATATTTAGTCAAATTTATACTTACTACTATCATATTTATAATTAAATTAAATATATAATACGGAAGACGAGAATAAAACACGAAAATAATACGATGCCATTATTTTTGTCACCCCTACTTTCAAGTGTAATAACCATAGTTTTTAAACCCGGCCCGGGAATTGACCCGGGCAGGTCTCCGGGTCATCGAGTCACCGGGTCACCGGTTCAACTGCCAGGTCACCGGGTCAATAGTTGAACCGAATAGTTAATTTTAAATTTTTTTAAATTATATATAGAGTATTTTGTCTTATAAATATACATAAAAATAACAAAATTAAATATTTTGTATATAAAATTTGCACATTAAAGTGCTAATAATATGTATTTCATGATAAATATTTACCATATAAATATATATAAATAGTTTTATTTTTTAAAAACAAAAAATATATTAAATAATAAAAAAATATATAGGACCAGGTCAACTGGGTCGACCCAGCCGGGTCAATGCCCCGGGTCGACCGGGTCAATGCCGGGTTTGACCGGGTTTGACCAGGTCCGTTGTTTCTCGGTCCGAATAGCCCATCCGGACCGGTTCCAGCTCCGGGTCGACCGGGTCCCGAGTCGACCCGCCGGGCCGATCCGGGTTGAAAAACACTGGTAATAACTAATAACTACGTTCAAAGGAAAAGAAAAGGACGAGGCAGAGAATTTGTTATTTATTTTCTGCATAAGAAAAAAAATAATAATTCAATCTCTATTCACCGCCCCC